ATATATCCACATCTAATATGTGTAATATTAACACTAAACCTACCGCGGTCAAAGTGATCGCTTCCTTATTTTACAATTCTGAAAAGTTCCGAAACTCTTTCGTGGAAAACGCATGAATAAGTTATATTTATTGGAGCAAGTTTTATAATAAAAACTTTTCAAATTCTAAATAAATTCGGTCTTCTCACTTTTGTGAAGCAGTACATGCCAGTTAGTATTACTGCTTGGTAGGTTTAGTGTTAAATAAATTAAATATGCATTAATATCAATAATATAAATATCCACGTGTAACTACTATTTCGAAACAAGTTTATATATATATTTACAATAAAGAATATAAACTATAATACAACTCGATACAATTATATTTCAGATCTTTCAATTTGAAATGTTGCTCGTTCGACGGTCCGATCTCGACTCTTCGATTATCTATTGGTAACACTCTTCCGTGGCAACCACTATGTTCCATTATTTTTTAAGGAGTCGCTCACAACATAGCAGTTTTACATTACAGCGACTTCATTTGGACATGTCGCCGTAACAATATTATTAAATTCTGTATCACATAAGATGATATAAAAACATTTACCGTCTATTTACTATTAGGTTGGGGAATAAGTTGGTAGCGTTTTCATATTTTCTTTTATTTTACAACGATTTTTTGCTGTTTGACAAAGTGTATAATATTCATTCGATAGAGCTCTTTCTGCTCTACAAAACTGTGCTAATCGCCTTTTCGAGTAATTTAATTTTTTATTATTTTCGAGGCTTAGAAATGGAGTATCCAGGAGGTAAAAAGCCAACTTTTTCGACAGCTTCTCTTCTTCGCTTTTCATCGAGGCCAAAAAGCTGCTGAAGAAGCAGCTCGGGACATTTGCAACGTACACGGAGAAGGTGTCATAGGCGAGTCTACAGCACGGAAATGGTTTGCGAAGTTCAAAAATGGCGATTTTGACGTCGACGACACACGTCCCGCAGCGGAAGAATTCGACGAAGAGCGCCTCGAAGCACTTTCGAAGGAGGACGTTCACCAAACAAGTCGTGAATTGGCCGACAAAAATGAACTGCGATCATAAAACGATTCTCGATCATCTTCATTCGATGGGATTTGCCGAAAAATTGGGAGCCCGGGTGCCTCGCGAGCTTAACGAAAACAACAAAGAAGATCGCTTTCAAATTGCTCGATAAAAACGCCACGAACTTATTCCCCAATCGAATATTTCAACGATCTATTTTCCACCAACCCTGCAAAATCGTCACGCATGCGTCACACCGATAGCGGAGAAAGTCAACAGAAATTCGATATGAATCGGAAAAATGAAAGCTAATGAAAAATATGACGGTTCGAGGAAACGGTTAATTACTGATCGCAGAGGCACACGGAATTACCGCGATTCGAATCGGTGGTCTAGCGGTGGCGAAAGAACGATGAATTGGAGTTGTTTCGGGGAGGAGGAGGGTGGAGGGGGTGGGGGGCAGAGCGCGTTGCCCTTGTTCTTCGTCGTAATTACAACGATACTGCGTTAATCCTTAGGGTGAGCTCGTAGTTAAATTTAAGTTGGAGGATGCCGCACTCGAAGTTTCCGACAACTTCGCCGCGGTCCTGGTTCCATTTCAATGGGGCTTGTGCTTGCGCCGCAAGCCAACTCCTCGACAATTTTCCTCCTTTTTTTTCGATAATTAAATCTGCGGATAATTGCGTCACGTGGGATTAATTAAAGAGACGTCCCATTTTCGAGAGAAGCGCGGGAGGCGTCGCCGTCGCCGTCGCCGTCGTTACGCCGTTGGTGATCTTCGATGGCCACGATAATTGCGAAGTCACGGCGGCAAGAGCGTTTCCATCGGTCGAAAGGGAACGATCGCGGAGAGAGAACAGGGCTCTTCTCTCCTGTATCTGTTCCACGAGCGGGGAAATTCGGATCGGACTTTCCCCGTCCCGGCCGCCGGCGAATGATTACAAGGGCCTCGCGAACTGGGTGAAAGTTATCCCGAAGACCGACGATCAAACTGCAATTACCATCGACGTGGCCCGCGGAGGGTTGCGCGGCGCGGTTTCCGTAAATCGTTCTTTTATAATCTCGTCAATTAAAAGAGAAACCGGAAACTCGGCCCCGGAACTTCGAGCTCTACGGTTCGGCACGACTTTCGCCAACTTTGATCTGGCCGTCCCCGCCGCCACTTGTAAATACGTTCCGCGGGAGAGAACCTGTTGGATAGCGGCCGGCGGATCCATCGCGTGTCAGCGAGAATCGGGAGAGGGTACGGCGAACTTTTCGAATAAACGGGGCTTCGAGTGGTCTACGCAGCGGTTCCTCGCGATTTTTATCGGCCCCGTTCGAACCGCCCG